ACCCTCAAGGCATCCTCCTTATGTTTACTGCCAAAGTACCTGCCAGGATCATATGACGAGGACACAGACTGTCCTTTCTACCTGAGGAGTCCTGAGTGCCAGCCCTGCCTCTGCTGCTACCGTTGTGTGCAAAGTGGGGACACCATGTCTCTCAGAGCTTATCTCCACCTGTAGAGTGGATGATCCCTGAGGCTGGAAGGGGCACTCACCTGTCAATGGGGTGGATGATAACAGGGATGACCAGAAGCCCCAGTGCAGTGGTAGTCCACTTGCGGATGGACAGAGGCCAGCGGGTGGCAGTGCCCAGGATGTAGAGAGAGGCAGCACACACACGGTTGATAGTGAAGCCTGGGATGGCCACAGAAGCCAGAGCCTGCCACACGAAAGTGTCCACCACAGCCACAGTCACCCTGGTGCTGCGGCCTGCTTCAGGGCTTCGTACCTGGTAGGGACAAGAGATACTTCATCCAGCAGGGCAGAGGTGGGAAACGCTGTGGACAAGGGGCATGAGGTTGGACCAGGGGAGGGAAGTGGCTGGTTGGGGGTGTCGGGTTCTGGACTGTACCAATTCAGGGCTGGGGGCAGGATGTAGCACCCTACAAACAGGATGGGGGTATGGACTGCACCAGGCAAGGTTGTAGGGGTTGGACTGTCCCACAAGGGATTTTACCACATGCAAGGCTGGGGACTAAATCACAAGGGAGTGGACTAGGGTCGGGGGTTGAGAGGCAGGCTAACACTCACATCTCCTGCCTTCTTGCCCTTGTCAATGGCATCCGCCAGCACGTAGGAGCTGGATACACCATAGCTCAACCACACCACAGCCGCTGGCACCAGGGAGCGGAATGCCTCTCCCACCTCATTGGCATAGCCTGTTGGAGAGGAGACGTTTAATTCCAGGGGTAGGAGTGGGTATGGTTTGCTCCACAAGGGGGCACTAGTCCTAATTCCCAGCCTGCTAAGGAGGAGCTGGGTGGTGACCTTAGGTAAGTGATTTTACTTCTCCGAGCTTTGGATTCCCAGTCTATAAAGAGGCATCCATGAAACCCACCTCCATTCTAGGGCCATTGTGGGAGCGCTGAGTACAGTCACCATTGTCATCACTCACTTGCCTTCCCAGTCTGGGTTCTAGAAGCATGAGCACTAATGGAGAGACTAAGAGCAAGTTCCCTGATGAGGTACTCACCATGTGCCAGGCCTTTCCTGTGCCTTATCTCTTTCTACCCTTACAACTACCACCCCATGAGAGAGACGCTGCGTTCATTCCTTTATGCTGAGAAAACCAAGAGTCAAACTGAATCGGTATGAGGCCCCATAATCTGACTCTACAGCCAGTACCCCCCCCCCCCCCCCCCCCCCCCCCCCCCCCCCCCGTTCCTCCTAGCCCGTCTGGAGCTTACACCTGGGAGACTGATCTGTACCGACAGACCCCGAGGGCAGGGGTGGGCCGACCTGAGCTGTGTGACTCTGGGCAAGTCCCTAGCCCTCTCTGAGCCCAGTCTCTGGCCCGGGCAGAATAAGAACTAAGATCCTTCCACCTTCTCCAGGCCCCTGACCAGCGTCTGGCGACCCCTACCTCTCCAGCCACATGGTGAGGGGTCGCCGAGCCCCTCGCGCACCCCCGGCCCCCTCTCACCTAGGTACCGCACCCACGTGTCTCGGAAAATGTCGCGCTCAGCACCCCGCGGGGGCGGCTCGGACATGGCGCTTCCACCTCCGCACCAGCCACTGCAGCCGGTCCTGCGCCGATACCACTTCAGCTTCCACTACCGCTCCAATCTGCCGCGGCAGGACCGGCTGAAGGTCCGGGACTGAAGGACAGGTCGCGCTGTCCCCGCCAGCAGGGAGCGTCTGCAAATTACCCCGCGCACTGAAGCCCCTCTCCCAGGCTTGGGCTTTACAGATTAATTTTCTTCACGTTTTTTCTGGGTTTGAGCGGTTGGCGCAGTCTTTTCCCACGACTGACTGACTGTAGTTTTGGAGCCTAAGAGAAGGGGGTTCAAATGCGGGAAGCTACACTTCCTAATTACACTTCATAGCTGTGTGACCTCAGGCAATAGGCTGTACTTCGCTAAGCCTCATTTTATTAATGTATTAATGTATTAAATGCGGAACACAATGTTCACTCCTCGGACAGTTGCAAGGATTATTTTTAGGTAACCATTTGTTAAGTTTACTGATCAGACCATTGACTAAAGACTCTAGACAGATTACTTTCTTAAAGCCTCCCACCAACCTGGGACCCCCATTTTACAGATGAGGAAATAGAGGCACAAAAAAGATGGGTCACTTTCCAGGTCATACAGCTAAGTGGTGAAGCTGGCATTTGAATCCAGGCCGTGTGGCTCCAGATTCCACGCTCTTAAGGGGAGTTGAGTTAATGAGTCTGGGGAGTGAATGGTGAGCGACCTGGAGAGGTGGGTATTTGGTGTGCCTTCCTGGCAGGTGCCATGTTCATTTATCAAGCTCTGGGTTCTAACTGGATCCATATAACCCTCAGACCAAGCTTCCTGGGGGCAGGACCTTGAATGAATGAATGAATGAATGAATGAACGAACGAATGAATGAGTCAAGGGAAACAAGACTTCAGGGAAATGAGCAGAACAGAATGTGTGGTCTTGGGGGGGTAGTGGTTACTAAGAAACTCTTCCCCAGCTGGACCTCTGTTTACTCATGTGGGCAATGAGTGCACTTCACTAAAGCTCTGAATCCTTTGGATTTTGCCAGCGAAGATGCAGCCATTAAAGGCAGGTAGTCCTGGGTTCAATCCCAGTTGTGCCACCTATTAGCCACGTCAGTAAAATTTATGAGTAGTCAGTATTTACTGAGCACTCACTTGTTAAGGCTCTCTTCTAAGCGCTTTGCACGTAATTTCCTTGAATTTCTGCAACAACCCAGGGCCCTAACGAAGCACAGGGTTGTTGCATGGTACCTAGTATGCGCTCATTAAAGAATTAGCTTTTATTGTCATTAAATAAAGACAGAGAAAATAAAGACCACTGATTCAATATTAAGGGCCCCATTTTCAGCCCTGGCTGTCTCTGTCATCGTTCGGTCGTGTAGGTCAGCCGGTTGGCGGTGACCTCGCAGGAAGCTGGGCTTGGGCCCAAAGGGATCTCCAGCCCCGGAAACATCGGTAATGCTGACGCGGAATTAGGAGACGGTCCCTAGCACCACGTGAGCGTTGTTCGTCCGCTTCCCCCCCCACCCACCCCCCCTCGGGCCCACCACAGGCGCTGCACGCACTCCCCAGACCCGTACTTAACAGCGCGCAAGAACCTTCCGGCGCGTAACGAGGGACCGAGTGGGGCGGGGCCTCCGCCCTGACCTTGAAGGCGGCCAGTAGCGCGCCCTGGTGCCCTTAACAAAGATGGCGGAAGAAAGCAACGGGCTGGACCAGCCTGGAGGCAAGCTGGCTGTTGGGCCCCAAGGGAAAGCGCGCGCCAGAGGAAGTAACGGGTGACTTCTGCGCATGCGCCCCACCTATTGCCGGCTAGGTGCTGCTGAGGCGTAAATTTGCCGTTCTGAGGGAGGGGCAGAGAGGAGCGAGGCGGCGGGCATTGATTTCCACTTCCTGTGCACTGAATGTTGCTTTATTCATTGGTTAATTTTCCTAACAGAGCGTTGTAAACCAAGGTCGGGTGACCCCTGCCAAGCGGTCTGGCTGCTGTCCACGCAGCCCAGCCCCTACTCAGTTTCACCAGACCATCTCCCCACGCTGGGCCGGGGCCTGGGTCTCGGAGGGAAAGCAGTCCCTGCGAGGGCCCAGGCGGGTTCGTTTTCCAGTGTTCGTTTGCAGGGCGTGGTGTTAAGTGCTGTGGTTGCCCCCAGGGTCCGTGCCCTCCAGTCCCTGGTCGCCAAGCGCCCCCTGTTCGTCACTGTGGATGGAGGGGCTGGGGACCTGTGAGGCCGTTTGTGGCTGTCCCCAGATGCTGGCCCGAGCTTTGGCCCCCTGCCCGGGCAGCCTCCCCGCCAGACACCAGGAACCCAATGCACCAGCCGAATGCCTCCCACAGAGATGGGACTGCCAAAGCATTGCTGAGGTCAGTCAGGAAGCGGCCTGGCCGGCACCGTGGGAGACTCAGACTGGGAAATGCACTCACTGAGATCTACTGTTTTGAGCCCACTTGTCATTTTTGTGTGGGGTGCTCAAATGGAGAGTTAACTTGATGAGAGGCCGGCAGCACTGAAAAGGGGGGGTGGAAGCCTCAGGACTCACCCCACCCCTAACCTCCCTGGCCCATCATGGAGCTGGGATCCCTGGAGGTAATTTCCCTGTGCTTTGTTTACGTTGGAGGACAGTGGCTGGGCACCAAATCTCACTGTCCTGAGAAGCTGAGTCACTGACAATCAGTAATTAAAGAGACAGCCAGTGGGTCCCAAGAATTGCAAAAATCTCAAGGTGGCCTTCCTGTCTACCCCTGAGTGGGAAGATCTACACTGACTCAAGACCATCTTCTGAGACCTGGTAGGCAAAGCCAAAAGATCCCAGCCTTGGTGATAGAAAGTTTAGAAGAGTTTTTGACCCCCACCATAACTCTAGCAACCTGCTACCTTGCTATACTCCTCATTATGATCTAGACTTAACATTTTCATTTGGGAACAAGTTCCTCCCCTACAGCTGGCTTCCCCAAAGTGTTAGGTCTCAATCTCTCCCCCCTTTTCTAATTTCTTCCCTGCTGCCACCCCCATCTCCCCCCCTTTCACTTCCTGTCTCAGCTGTCACTGGACAGGTAAAGTTGGCACAGCTTATAGGATGGTAGATCCTATCATGGTGCCCAGCCCCTGGGACTTCTTAGCAATTTGAGAGGCAAGGGGACCCTCTCCTGCTACTCTCCCTCTTCCTAATTCTGAAATGAAAGTTTCCCAAATCCAGCCCAGGGTCTTTCTTGTAGCCCAGTTTTTTGGGAGGCATCTGGATACTGGGCAAATGACTGCTACAAGGGACAGAAACTGACAGGGAGACACTGAGGGAGCCAGGCCTTCTGTGGGAGGAGGCATTACTTTGGGGTGACTGCCCCCAGCTGTTTCATCTTCTCTTCTGAGGCTTTGTCTGGAAGCAGGACCTCCACAGTGAAACTGACCTTCTTGGCATGAATGAAGCTGTAGGTATTGTCAAACCGCAGGACATCTGAGGGGAGGCAGAAAACCAGACATTCAGGCAATTCTAACAAAGGGCAGCGAGTTTTGTTGACTGAACAAGGCAGTGTGGTCCATAATGAGGATGAAGGTGGCATAAGCAATGGTCCTTCACCTTCTGAAACTTAAATCAAGCTGGGTCGACAAGATATTCACAGAGAGAAAAAAATATATGAGACAGAACATGCCGAGCGCCAGATGAGTGAGAGAGACAACCATATCTGTTAACAGCTTGGAAGGAGAGGGCCCTATTGACTGAAATCATGTAAAAAGGCTTTTCAGAGGTGTTAGAACTTGAACTGGGCCTTGAAATGGCATAGCAGAATTAGTAGCAGCAGTAGTTGTCAAAATAATAATAGTTATGGGAAAATGCCTACTTATGTGTCTCAGCCCTGGCTTGGTAATCTATATATACTACTAGACTATTGCTGCAAGTAACTATGAATTCAGTATTAATCCTGCTTTATAGGATATAAAAAGGAGGTCACTGTGTCACATGGTGAGGTGATAGAGCTGCAATTTCCCTCTGGTCTGCATTGTTGCCTGCCTTGGGCCCTGGAAAAAGACGAGCCCTGTTCAGTTTCTGGCCAAGGTAAAAAATACACAGAATTTTTGAACCAGGAATTCATCCCAGTGAATTTGTCCCAAATAAATGGACAAAGATGCTCATTTCGCCCCTGTTTGTAATCATAAATGATTAGGAAAACTCAAAGTGGGCATGCAGTTGGCAGAGAAGGCTTTGAAGCCTTGGCCGAGGAACAGACTGCTTTTAATCTAACCCTTTTTTTGTTGTTGTTGAGAAGTTGTTCCATTTCAGTCAAGTACCCCTTCAAGAGAACAGAGTGTGAGAACAAAAACACTCACTCTGCCCTTTCCCTATCCAGGACTTCTCTCGCTTTTCCCAGCAAAAATAAAAACTTAGAACAAGCCCCCCCCCCCCCAAAAAAAAAGTATATTTAATCCTGAGAATTAACCTCTCCTCTTTCCTGCCCCTAAATAAAATACATAGTTTAGACCTTGAGTAGACACTCCACCCACACTTTTTTCACGGTATGAAGGAAGTATTACTCATTGATTTTCTCTCTGCACCAGAGGTTTTTCAGAACCAGTAGTCCCTCCGGAAAGAGAGACACTGCCTCACTGTCCTGGACAACAGAGCCCTAGCCACTAGAATCAGTCATGCTAGAGGAAAGGTCTGAGCTCCTTGGACCAAGCACCAGGATCAAGATGGCTCTGCCTTGTATGATATTTTGCTCTCAGAAACAAGGAAGAGGCTGTTCTAAGGCCCAGGCCCAAGGGAAGTGGAGTTCATGAACTACATGGTTCATTTTGACACTAATCATGTACTCACAGGCCTGTAGGGCCCTCAGAGATCCTTCCAGGCTAGGGCTTCTCAACCTTTGTTGGGGAACTGGCCCCTTGAGAATCTGATGAAATCATACAACTTCAGATCCCCTGGACCCCATCATGGACCCTTGGGGGCAGGGGGTCCCAATGGGAAAGGCACCATTCTGAAGAGTCTCAGCACATGGGTGTAATCATGCCCTCTCGTTTATGTATGGAAACAAATATATATTCTAAATTAACTTCCTTTTATTTCTCCCAGTGGGAGATTATATTGCTTTTTAAATCATGTGTTTAGATGGGTTATATTATCCATGAATTTCATTTGAGAATAGAAAAGGGGATGTTAGACACTCTATGTTATAAAAGGGAGGTGGTTTGGTCTTTTAAGATTCACAGTCACATCTATGGGGAGTCCACAAACCCCAGATTAAGACCTCCTGCTCTAGGGGAGCCTGGCTGGCTCAGTTGGTAGAGCATGTGACTCTTAATCTCAGGGATGTGAGTTCAAGCCCCACGTTGGGCATGGAACCTACTTAAAAAATTAAATTAAAAAAAAAAAAAAGACCTCCTGCTCTAGCCCACTCCCCTCATTTTAAGAAGGAAAGCAAAAGCTGGGGCGCCTGGGTGGCTTAGTTAAGCAGCCAACTCTTGACTTTGGCACAGGTCATGATCTCACAGTTCGTGGGATCGAGCCCCACATGGGGCTCTGTGCTGACACTGCAGAGCCTGCTCGGGATTCTCTCTCTCCCTCTCTCTGCTCCACCCCTGCTCATCCTCTCAAAATAAACAAATAAACTTAGAAGGAGGAGGAGGGGGAGGGGGAGGGGGAGGGGGAAGAGGAGGAAAGCAAAAACTACTTAGAGACACCTGCCCAAAACACTTGGAGAGTTGGTGGCACAGGGGGGCTCAGAAACCAAGCCTCCTGGAGCCTGGCTAGACTCTCTTCTCCCCAAGACTCTCTTCTCCCAACACTGCCTGGAAGTACTGCTGAACCTTCATCTAGTCTTTTAGGTCTTCTAGACCATGTTAAGTACTCCTGGCAGACAAAGTCTATATCTTTTCTTCTGAATCTTCTTTCCAAGTATTCTAAACTCAGGCCCTCAGGAAATTTTAGTTGAGAAAAAAAATAAGTGAAATCAATTCAGACTTTGTTTCTCCTTCTCAGCCATTAAGTACACTTGGGCAAGGACCCGTGTGGCCTGGGGAGGATTAATGTGTTCTTACCACTGGAGGCTGGCACAGAGTTTTAATTTCTCCACTGAGCGATTATGTTCCACTTTGCAGGGGGTCACCTGGCTCTCCAAGGGCACTGCCCTCCCACAGGTAAGTTTGTAACCTAATACTGCATTCTCTCTGGGCTCAGGTCTAACCTGAGCCACGGCTCCAGACAACAGCTGATCCCACCTCATTGTCTTTACACCTGGGAGGTGGATGCCCTGACCTGCCTCTAATCCTCCTTGGAATGGACAAGAAGCGGCAGTCAAGGCCCCACAGGCCGATAAACGTTCCATCTGGGAATGTATCCAAGAAGAGCTAAAATATATTTGGGATTTGCAAACCTAAGCCTGATAATGTTATAAGGTTCCTGGTCCTCTCTCAGGCTGTGTCCTTCCGGTACTATAATTGGTAATGAGCACTGCTGGAAAATGGGTGGGGCACTGCTGTTGGCTGCATGAATTTGGGTAAATTACTTCCCTGGTCTGGGACTCCACTCTCTGTTCTGTAACATCGGGGCAGACCTGATCATCTCTAAGATAGCTATGGCCTAGAGATCTGGACCAGGACTCTAGGATTGCCTCATGTCCTCTGTCTTTTGGTGTTCATATAAGCTACTTTGTGGGAGAGGTGACATCCCTTCTCTATACCTCAGCTTCCCCATCCATTAAAAAAAATTCAAGTTGGAAATGTTGAAAAAAAAAAAAAATTTAAGGGGCGCCTGGGTGGCGCAGTCGGTTGAGCGTCCGACTTCAGCCAGGTCACAATCTCGCGGTCCGTGAGTTCGAGCCCCGCGTCAGGCTCTGGGCTGATGGCTCAGAGCCTGGAGCCTGTTTCCGATTCTGTATCTCCCTCTCTCTCTGCCCCTCCCCCGTTCATGCTCTGTCTCTCTCTGTCCCAAAAATAAATAAATGTTGAAAAAAAAAAAAAAATTCAAGTTGGGGCACCAGGGTGGCTTAGTTGATTAAGCGTCCAACTCTTGGTTTTGGCTCAGGGCATGATCTCATGGTTTGTAAGATTGAGCTCTGCATCAGGCTCTGCACTGACAGCATGGAGTCTACTTAGGATTCTCCTCTCTCTCTCTCTCTCTCTCTCTCTCTCTCTCTCTGCCCCTCCCTGGCTTGCTTGCTCTTTCTCTCTCTCAAAATAAATAAAGTTAAAAAAATATTTTAAAAAATTCAAGCTTGGGGCACCTGGGTGGCTTAGTCGGTGAAGCATCTGACTTCGGCTCAGGTCATGATCTCATGGTTCCTGAGTTTGAGCCCCACATCGGGCTCTGTACTGACAGCTCAGAGCCTGGAGCCTGCTTTGTATTCTGTGTCTCCCTCTTTCTCTGCCCCTCCCCCACTTGTTTTCTCTCTCTCCCTCTCTCTCTCAAAAATAAATAAAACATTTTTACAAACTTTTTTTAAAAAAATTGAAGCTTATATACAAAATACTTTATGCTCTGTGGATAATAGTATCTGGGCTGGTGTGCTAGGACTTGTTCTTACTGAAGCATGTAGTAATATGCCTTCTCCTCCAAGGACCTAGCTGCTTGCTCACTAACAAGAATACTCCTCCTCCGTGGGGAGCCATACCACAGAGCATCTGAGGAAAGGGCTGTAGAGACTGAACATTGCCTGACATGTGGGGAAGTACACGGCATCTGAGATTGGGATGATGTTGTGAGGCATCTGGGGGCTAGCTCAGATCTCCTGGTGATGCTGCCCTAGAAATGGGGCACAGGGCTTCTCCCGTCTCCAACACCATCTCCAGGATGGCCCTTCTCCCTGCCAGGTCTTGCCCTAATAATAATAATGGTGACTACAGTGTGTTAAGTGCTTGCTGTATGCCAAGCATTATGCTAAGTGCTGCACAGACCTATCCCCATGAGGTAGAGAGTTTGATCCCCAGTTAGCAATCAGGAAACTGAAGCCCGGGGAGGCTGTCACTTGCCTAAGGACTAGTCTATAGTCAAATCCAAGTGGCTTAATGATAAAGCCCTTGCTCTCATTGACTTTCCATGCCTGGCCCATTGGCTCTAATAGAAAGGAAACTGGAGACTGGAAGGGAAGTGTGTGTGTGTCTGTGTGTGTGTGTGTGTGTGTGTGTGTGTGTGTAGTTTTTCTACTTATAAATGTAGTACATGGTCATTGTAAAATAACTATTTGCAGAACTCATGTAAAAAAATTAAAGCCCTCTATAAGCTTCTTACCATCTCAGAGATAACCACTATTCCCCAGAATTATTTTTAATATACATGTTTTTAAAAAAAAGCAGAGTGTATACCATATGCTATGCTTCACTCTTTGTTTTTTTAAAACATGTACCAGACATCTTATGTGTCAATTTATTCCCTCTAATGTGTATATTGTGTTCCATATACGTGTATGCATGGACCATAATTCATTTAACGAGATCTTATTAAGGCCATTTAGTTTATTGCCAGTTTCCCAGACTGCTAGGAACATCCCTGTACCTATATCCTTGTGTCTTTGTATAAACATTCCTGTAGACTAAATTTCCAGAATTAGAATTGCTAAAAGGGAATTTTAATAGATACTACAAAGTTGAGTGAGGTCAAACACTTTTTCAAATGCCTGTTTGCCATTCTTATTCCTCTTGCCCAAACTTCCTATTCATGGTCTGTGCCCATTTTTTTTGATCAAGGTGGAGATAAATGAAGCTCAGAGGGATCAAGACTGGGCTTTTCAGCATCGCTCACCCGGGGATCCCTGCACCCACCCAGGCAAGTTCTGCCTCTCTGATGTCTGGGGAGAGGAACATCCCCAAGAAATGTCTGATGACAGTCATAGATCCAGTTAGTCTTGAACCAGATAGCAAATATTCTGAACCTTGTGATCACCTAGCACCAGGACTCATCTCTACCTGGGAGTATTTGGTCAGAGACCCACCCTGCTGCTAACCAGGAGGGTCACCTGGTCATTGTACCTGTCCAAGCCTAGGTTTCCTTATCTATGTCAGGAGAGGGTTGATCTGATGGAGCCCTATGTCTAGTTCTAACAGTCTGAGAGCATAAACCCATGGAGAAAGAGGGACCTCACAGGCAGACAGCTAGGGCAGGGGCTCTAAGCCAAGACTTACAGATGCCAGGATCGCTGCAGGTGAGGGTCCCATCCTCAGGGACCAGGTGGGCATTGTACCTCTGGTTGGAAAGCACCTCCGTCATCTCCCCTGCCCGCTGCCGCTCCCCCATTTTGGTCTTCAGGAAAATCCCAAAACCGATGTCTGAACCATCTGACATGAACTGCCACCTGCAGGAGACATCCACCCATTGAGACGTGATTCCGTCCATGTGTGCACTCTCTGGGGTCCTGCCCTCAGGGCTTCTCCCAGCCCGGCCCACCCACTGGCTCAAAGGCACAGGCTGTCTCCTAGGGTCCAGAGCACTACCTGAGGACACAGCCAGGGAAGAGGATCTCATACTCCACTTGGTGGGAGGAGCCACGAGAAATCTGCACACTGTGCTCATACTGCTGTTTCACTTGATCTCGCACATAATACTTCTTCGGAATGTCACCCCCGTAGTTAATCTAGAAGCAGAACACAGAATGAACTGGAATGGGCATTTGAGCCAGGCTTCCCGGGCGATCCCCTAGCCCTATGGGCTACGCGGCGGGGGGCATGCAGTCCCCTACCTTGGATTTGCACTTGGGGTCTCCATCAGAATCAGTCATGGTACCCCCATACTCCATAGGCAGCTGGTCAGGGCTGATATATTTCAGTAAAACCTCCTTCCAGTTTGCTGGGCAGTAGAGGGAAGGAAGGAGAAAAAAAGGGTCACCACTAGGCAAGATTTCCTCACGGCCCTGGTGGTCAACACAAAAGAGGCAGGAAAAACCCTGTCTGCCCCAGGACGCAAAACACAGGCATTAGGAGTACACAGTATACACACAGATCTGCAGGGGATTCAGGAGGAACCATCACCCAGAGGATTGCCCTGCCCTGAACTAAGAATCAGAACACCTTGAGTCGTGTCTCCCCTGCCTCTGGCCAGTTGAACAACCTTGGGCATTGCTTCACTCTGAGCCTGATTCCTCCCACCTTGCAAGGCTTCAGTGGGGGGTGAAGTGAACTAAGTACTTGAGAAGATGCCATAAACTGTTAAGTGCCCTACGCACATCAGAATATATTATCACTCCTTGGAAGATGATACAAATACCTGCAGTGCAGGCAGAGGGAACAAAGAAAGGGAAGGGCATCCCACGAAGAGGGAACAGCATATGTATCAAGCAGGAGGGCCTGAATCAACATAATCTGTCCTGGGTAGGCTGAATTCCAGGAGGGCACAACCCTGTGTCTCATCCCCTACTTTCATCTATACGAATCATGCTCAGTCGTGAGTTACTGAATGCACCACTGTAGAGTGGCCCTTGAAATGGGTTCCCTTGGCTTTACCCCAGCCACAACTTTACTTCTGCTGTTTTTCAGGCTGTCTAAGCTGCCAGTGACTCGGCCCCCCCCCCTTTTTTTTTGTAAATAACCAAGCCCTTTCCTGACTCGGAGAGTTTGATTCTAGTGCAACCAATGCTGAGAACCAAATTCCTAACCTATTATCAGCCAAGTACAATATTTTGATGCTGCAAACCTTTCCATGCTGACTATATAGACCATAAATAGGCAGCAGCTCCAAGTCATGGGGTACAACCCAGTATCCTCTGTTGTTGGTACTGGCTGGAAGCCCACAGAGACTGTCCAGAGTCTCCCAACCCTCTGATTTCTAGGGTCCCGGGACCATGCAACTCCTGCGACACAGCGTCTGTGGTTTGGGGAGTGATTTAATCTGTGCTTCTAAGCCTCACTGACCAACCCAAAATGAATGTCTTCCCTCCTCTGCTGAAGATCCTGTATCTTCCGAGACTGAGATGGGTTTGGTTGAAAGGGTTTCAGGTGTGGGTGGGAGAACAGACGGCACCTTCTCTACAGCTCTGCTGCCAGGAAACCCAACCACCACATGCTCATGGTGGGTGGTAGCAGCAGAAAAGCCAAGAATCATCAGAGCCTTTTGCTCAGATTTTGTATGTCTTCCCCCAGCTCAGCTGGAGAGTTGGAATAAGGCCAAAAAGAACTTCCCATCTTACAGAGAGAGTAACTGAGGCAACAAGAAGCAGAACTTGTTGCTGTCAGAGTCAGGACCAAATCCCAGAAGTCCTGTACTTTCTAGAATGCTCCACGCTGCTCCCGGGGCTCATTAATACGCACTGGGAAGATTTCCACTTTCAATGTGTTGCCTAATGGTGAACATTCAGAAACGTTCAGAATCTGTATTGCCTACCCCTAAGTTCAACTCCACGGGTGGCATCGAGTCTGCCAGGAGCCAGTCCCAATCTACCTCTGTGGTCTTTTCTTCCCACCAACTTCACCTAATGTTGTGGTAAAACTCAGCTCCTCTCTGTCCGTGGCTGGCTTGATTCCTATGCGTCTCTTGCTCCAGCTTCCCTCTTGTGCCCTGATGTTCTCCCAGCTCCCCAGCACATCCAATCCCTGCCGGGTGTGGTCCTGCCAACCTCATCAATCACTCTTCATTCTCCCTGGTGGGCTCCTCTGGCTCTACCTGCCCTTGAGCTTGGACAGTCCCCAGGACTGAGCCTCCACTCTTCTGTGGGCATCCTTTATCTACTCACAAGGTTTTAGTTGCTGCCTGTATTTGATAACTCCCGAATTTCCAAACTGGAGTTCTCTCCTCAGCTTCAGGCTCAAGTAACCCCAACATCTGTGTATCTCAGAGATTCCCCAAACTCAACATCAAGCTTATTCTTCCAGTTGTGTTCTCTAGCTGAACGAATCGTACCAGAATGATTGTGATATTCAGTCATTCATGCCAGACACCAGAAAGTCATTTCTAGATTTCTCTTCCTTCCTCTATCCAGTCGACTGAGTTCTGCTGTTTCACTTCCTAAGTAAGTCTCTAGTCCATCCTCTTCTCTCCATCCCTACTGTCACCTCCCCAGCTCAGGTTTGCAACACCTCTTGCATGGACTGTGGCCACACTGCAAATTGGTACCTGTGCTTTGCAAGCTTGCCAGTAAAATGTGTCTCCATTTGAAATCTGATCCTGGTTGGGGTGCCTGGTGGTGCAGTCGGTTAAGCATCTGACTCTTGATCTCAGCTCTGGTCACGATTTCACATTATGTGAGTTTGAGCCCTATGTCGGGCTCTGCGCTGATAGCATGGAACCTGCTTGGGATTCTGTCTCTCCTTCCCTCTGCCCCTCCCCAGCTTGTGCTCTCTCTCACTATCAAAATAAATAAACTTAAAACATTAAAAAATAAAGTAAAAATCTGATCCTGGTTAAGAAGATGGGGTACACATATACAATTCTACTTTGAATACTACTACATTGAATACTACTCAATGATGAAAAAGAATGAAATCTTGCCATTTGCAACAACGTGGATGGAAATGGAGGCTATTATGCTAAGTGAAATAAGTCAGAGAAAGAAATATATTATTTGACTCATATGTGGAATTTGAGAAACTTAACAGATGATCATAGGGGAAGGGTATGAAAAATAAGATAAAAACAGAGAGGGAGGCAAACCATAAGAGACTCTTAAATACAGAGAACAAACTAAGGGTTGATGGGGGTGGAGGGGTGGGGGAAAATGGGTGAGGGGCATTAAGGAGGGCACTTGTTGGGATGAGCACTGGGTGTTATGTGTAAGTGATGAATCACTGGAATCTACTCCTGAAGCCAAGACCACTGTATGTTAGCTAACTTGAGCATAAATTTTAAAAAATAATAAGGGGCGGCACCTGGGTGGCTCAGTCAGTTAAGCGTCCAACTTCAGCCCGGGTCACGATCTCACAGCTCGTGAATTCGGGCCCCACATCAGGCTCTGTGCTGACAGCTCAGAGCCTGGAGCCTGCCTCAGATTCCACATCTCCATCTCTCTCTCTGCCCCTCCCCCACTCACTCTGTGTCTCAAAATAAATAAATACATTATAAATAAATAAATAAATAAATAAATAAATAAATAAATAAATACATTAAAAATAAATGAAACAAAATACATAAAAACATTAAAAACATTTTTTTTAATAATAAAATAGGGGCGCCTGGGTGTCTCAGTCGGTTAAGCGTCCGACTTCAGCTCAGGTC